TTCCTCTATGAGATTTTGATGTTTTTTGGTTTTGATTTCAAGTTTATCAATCTTATTAAGCTTTGTATTGAAAGTCCTTATTTCTCCATCATTGTGAATGGTAAGTCCAATGGTTTTTTTAAGGTCTCTGATGGTTTGAGACAGGGGGATCCCCTCTCCCCGGGTCTCTTTATTATTGCAGTTGAGCATCTTTCGAGAGGGCTTGTAGATCTTTTTGTTCATTTTCATAGTCTTTACTTTCATACTTTAGGTGGGTTTAACATTTCACATTTAGGCTTTGCGGCTGATTATATTATTTTCGCTAATGCCTCTTTGAATCAGATTCAAAAGCTTTTGGATTTCTTTACTCATTTTGAATTAGTTAGTGGCCTATCTTTTAAAAAAATAAGTGTGTTTTATTACTGTTAAGAAAGTGTCCTTATAGCACATTAATGGTATTGAGAATTTAACTAGTTTTAGCCATGCTTGTTTGTCGTTAAAGTATCTTGGTGTTCCTTTGTACAAGGGTAGGAAGATTTCTGCCCTTTTTTATGACTTAATTTCTGTTGTGCATAATAGCTTTGTGTCTTGGGATTCCAATTTTCTGAGTTTTGGTGGTAGGTTAATTCTTATTAAAAGTGTCATTTGTTCTATCCCGATTTACAGTTTTCAAACTTTATTTTTCTCTTAGGCTGTTTGTAATAGGATCGAGAAGATTTTCAATAAGTTTTTTTTTTTTTTTTTTTGAGAGGGGCTTCTACTAATTAAAATACATTCGGCTTCGTGGGATAAATCTTGTGGTTTTCTGTTCGAAGGGGCTTTGGGTTGTAAGACTTTGAAAGATCTGGCTTATTCCTTTTCTTATAAATTATGGTATAATTTTCGTTCTTATCTGAGCCTCTAGGCCAAGTTTTTGAATCCGAAGTATTGAGAGGGAAAATATCCCTCCATGATTTATTTTAGTAAAGGTAATTCTAAAGTCTGACAATGTCTTTACAAAGTTAAATAGAGGGTTGAGCCTTTATTAATTGGGGCCTTACTAATGGGGATATTTTCTTCTAGCAGGTTCATTGGCTTGAGGGTCAATCCATTGATTCTATTCCCAGCTCTTTTTGTATTGTGTTGGTGAAGGTTAATGAACTTTTTAATGAGAATGGTTGGGATGTAGAGAAACTTTCTACTCTTCTGCCTAATGTTATCATTCAGGAAATCTTACAGATTCCCTTAAATGTTATTCCTTGGATGTTCAGATTTGTGCCTTTTCTAAAGATGGTCAATTTAGACTTAAAGATGCTTGGCATTCTTTTAGGGCTAAGCAAGAGACCTCCAAGATTTTCAAGATGATTTGGCATAAAAGTATTCCATCTATTGTTTCTATTTTTGTCTGATTATTTTACATAAGTATATCCCGACTGATGATAATTTGATTAAACGTGGTTTCATCCTTCCTTCAAAATGTCAATGTTATTTTCACATGGATAATATGCATCATGTGTTTATTTATGTCCTTGTGTTGTTAAAGTATGGACTTACTTTAATGATATCTTGCATTTATACTGTTTTACTGCTAAGGCTTCTATTCACTCAACTCTTAATAGTTGGTTTGTTAATTCCAGAGGGCATATCAGGAACGTTATTCCTTCTCTCATCCTTTGATTTTTATGGTTTGATGGGAATGATTCCTTTTATAATGGGGTGGTTATGAATCACAATCGTATTATTCATAAGGTTAAAGATAAGATCTTGGCTCTTTTTTCTACTAAATTACTTTTGGCTAAGAATTTTCATAATGTTATTTTTGTAGCTACTGAATTAGGCATTAAGTTGGAGATGTTTGGGATTTTTCAAGTCCCTAAAAGTACCATTTGGCAGAAACCTCGATTTTTTTCCTTAAGCTTAATGTCCATGTTGTTTATGTTAATGCTAAGGTGGCTTGCGGGGTATTATCAGATATGATAATGGTAAGGGTATTTTGAGCTTTGTTGGTCCGTATCCCAACTGTAAGGTTAATAATGATGTCATTTTTGCTATCCTGTATGTTGTAAAACTTTGATTTTCTCTTGACTTCATGAATATTGTGCTTGAGGTGAGCTCTACCTTTTGGCACCGGATGAGTAACTTGAGACAGGAAATTGTGTTTTATGCTGCCTTATTTTACACAAGAAAAGACATCCAGCTTTGGTTGAGTATGCTCAATTGTTCTTTATCGGTCATTCTAAATAGAAGGTAATGCTTGTGCCCATGGTATATCTGAGTGGTGTTGTCTTATGGATTCCATGGTGGATATTTAATTTTTTAATTTACCTCATCATATTAGAGATCTTTTAAATTTGGATGAGATCAATTTTCCATATGTTATTCCTTAATCGTGTGGCTTCTAGTTTCTGTTGGTTAGCTTCTGGTTTTTGTGGCTTCTTTGATGCCTTTTGGGTTGGTTTTTCTCATATGGAGTTTTATCTCTCGGTCTTTTGGTTAGGTGCTTTTGGTGAGTTAGTGCTTGTCAGTGGTTGGTCGCTTGTGTTGCCCTTGGGTTGGCTTGGCATTTTTACTTTGGTTTTTTGGGGTTATTGGTGTACTACCAGATTCATGGGGTTTTGGCTTTTAACTGGTTGGGTTGGTTGGGCTCCTTTGAGGGCTGGTGATTGTGAGGATGTTTTGTTGCTGTCCCTTTAGCATTTTGTCTTAATGCTGGGTTTCCTGCTGTTATGGTTCGATCTGATTTCGTTTCCCAGCTGTGGCACTGTGTTATTCCAATTTTCTTGTTACTCTGCTTCTCTTGATGGTGGTTGTTCTATGCTCCTGGATATTTGGTATTATGGGACATATATGTTGCAATACGGGAGTCCGACCTTATATTTTGATTATTATAAATATTATTTGATGTTTTTTTAGTTTCTCCTGATTTATATACTACATATTTTTTTTTGTACATCGTCACTAATATTTCAGGTTCAATATAAATAAAGCACCGTCAAAGAATCAGAGCTCAACAAAGTATTACATATGTTAAACTAATTTTGAACTTTTTTTCTTGAGTCAATGTCTGTATTAAGATGTATGTTAGCTTAGCAACTGTGCTCACAAACACATAAGGGGGAATAAAAAATAAATATTTTATTTTATTTGTTAATCGTATGGTATAATTCATATCATACTGTGATATTAGTTTAAAGAAAAATAATTAAAATTTTTAATATAATTGATAGAAATAAATTAAATTATAACTAACTGTATTGTATGACCAACACATTTTACTGGACGATTAGCTATTTGTAGAAACCACCATCAAATCCAACTTACTTAAAATAGAATATTTTAAATTTTAAATTTTGAACTATGTGTATTGTACGATACTATTTGTGGTGTATGATATTTAATTAATATTACCTCATTTAAGTTCAGGGATTAAGGAATGAAATCAGATGTATTAATTATAGATTACTTAGTCCAATCATGTATCGGATAGTAAGAACCACCTGACAACACTTTGGATGAACTTTGGTTTGCCCTGTACTATCCAATATTTTATTTGAATTAATTGTAATATACAATTTATAATATTATGAGATGATCTATGAAGACAATGAACTAATTATATTGTACGATCCTAAAATCTTACTATATAAATTGAGTCGACAAAATTAAATAATTAAGGTTTTTTTATGTCATCTATATAAACTATTATTATGACTGAAGAAGTCTTTTGACAATCAAAGGTGTATTTCTTTTGTGAAAGAGTTTGAGGAGAGAGCATTGAACTAAGGAGAGAAAGGATGAGGTTGTGTTAGAGGGAGAAGAGTTTTGTGGAATTCAAGGGAGTGTTAGAGGTATTCTCGCATGATTACTCAGGCCAACTTGCACCTTAGTACTTTCGGGTATGTCAATGCTTCTCTTGAGGGAAACTCTGTTAAGAAGCCTTGGGTGTCAAAGGTCGCCCGCTACTGTTGCATCAAGGAGGAGAAAGAGATTCCGACTAATCCATAGTAACGAGAAGGTGAAATGGATTATGGTTACTTCGTCGCACCAAGGAGGTGAAAGGGATTTCGACTACTCCATTGCACTGAGGAGGCAAAAGTGATTTCAGTGTCTCTGTCGGACTGAGAATGTGAAAAGAGAGAGATTCTTTTAGAGAGAAGAGTTTGTATGGGCTTCTTTGTCTAGCCATGGGACGAATGCAAGTTATTATTGATTAGTGTGATACCCTAATTAAAAAGAAACTTCATGGAGAGGATGTAGGTCAAGTTGATCGAACCACTATAAAAATTGGTTTATATTCTTTTTCTTTTCGCATTTACTTTCCTAAATATTAACTATTCTGCAATATGGGTTGAGTTTGATTATCATTGCGATACGAAAATTATTGTGGATTGATATTTATTTAAAAAGTAACAAAAATTAGAAAACTAAAAAAGAACAAAAAAATTATTATTTGTTTTTTTCTACAAAATAAAAAACACAAAAAAGATTAGTATTTATTTTTGGGTAATTCTTGAGAGTTATGATTCTATTTATTAAAACACTTCCACATTAAAATCTGATTTTGTTTTTTAATCAAAAGATTTTAAATTACCAATTCACCCTTCTTTTGATGTATCATTTCAACGTTCAATTGGTTTCACAACCAACTATTAAACTTTTAGTACATATTTGTTAATTAGATTAAAAATATATAATTGTTGTTAGAATGTTTTCTAAAGCATCTTTTTAAAGTTTTTTTTTTAATTAAAATTTTTATATTAAAAAATTACATTAACAAGCAACAAGAAAATTATTCAAATGAAACCTTAAAGTTGATGGTCAATTTCCCCGAAAGTCTCGTGGCCAATTTCTCGATCATACTTTACCTTATTTTTCTTCCCCATGTATGAACCTGCGAACTCTTGGTAAGAAAATTCATACGTGTAACCTTCACAAGTCAAGTGCTTGTGATAAACGATTTGTATTAAATATCACAAAGCTCTCGCCTATATATGTCTATGTGGCACTATTTTACAGTTCAATATATCAATACTCTCTCTCTCTCTCACCATATATCATGGAACCTCGCAGTTCATTTGAAGATGAAATACCCAACCAAATATTTGCTCGGAGGTCTGCCAATTACCAACCGAGTTCGTGGGACTATACTTCACTGCACACGCTATCAAACACTCTCAAAGTCTATTAATCTTTCTTTTTTCTCTTTGTTTCTCATTTCTCCCCCCATTATTTTCTTCACGAAAAACATAATATTGCAGGAGGAAGTAAACGACCGCTTAGCTGAGGAACTAATGCAAGAAGTGAGGAATCAAATTAACGATGGGATCAAGCTCCAGCGACAGCTCGAGCTAATTGAGGCCATTGACCGACTCGGTCTGGCCTCACTCTTCCATGAGGAAATCTACCAAGTTTTAAGTGTTTTATCTCTCAATAACTACAAAGAGGTGATTCTTTGTGGCCTTCGATCAACGGCTATATGCTTCCAGCTTCTTCGTCGCTTTGGATTTCAAATATCTGAAGGTTTGCGATTTTAACTAATTAATTAGTCAAAACTCCGAGTCATAAACGATTTGACGACATGCTCACCAGCACTCCAACCGTACCACCATAAACCATGTAAAAAACAAGACAAATCACATCCACACATCAGATTCTTACAAGTGCATTATTTGCCTATAAATATCATTGTACTCATTACTGTAGATGATATGAATAGTTGAATCTGTTCCTCAAATCTCCTGTAGCTTTGTTGCGTCGATTAATATTCGCGGCGGTAGAGAAATATCATATTTATCGTCTTAGCGTTGTACGAAAATCCGGCACGCAATCAGATAAGAAGAGAGGGTCTAGCATTTATGAGTCACCAAGATTTTTACGTGAAAAACCCCTGAAAAAGGGGGAAAAAAACCACGGGGCCTAGCCCAGTTTGAACGAATCCACTAATATTGGCAGTCGATTACGAATGAGGCACTTTCTTGGGAGAAGGCCTTAGGTTGATGCACATCTTGTAGAGTACATTACATGATATAAATACAAAGAGTTACTATTGATGTATTCGTTTCGTTGGAATGGCTGTAGTCGACGGGCGACGGAAGTCAGGAGGACCGTAGTCAGCTAGCGACGGAGGTCGGAAGAACTGTAGTCGACGGGCAACGTAAGCCAGGAGGATCGTTGTCGGCGGGCGACGGAGGTCGGAAAGACTGTAGTCGGCGGGCGACATAGGTCAGGAGGACCGTAGTCGCACTACAGGAAAAACAGCCAAATCCGGCGGTTATTTCCGGCGGTTTGGGTAATAATACCGGCGGTTTATAGTATTACCGGCGGCTTAGCGTCGGTCCTTACGCCGCCGGAAAAAATCGCGTAGGAAACCTTTACCGGCGGCCGTAAATAGGCGTGAGATCAAGGGCGAACAGGGAGTGGTTTGAATGGACGGCCGATATCGAATCCTTTGATCATGCACCGTTTGTTGGACATTTGAAGGCCTTAATGATGTCGGAATTCAATGATCTTGGGCTCGTTGGATTCGTCACGTCGAGCCGCTCAATTCGAGTATACGTTCGTTAAAATCGGAGACCGTTTGGTAACTCAAATTGCGGTCTGAACCTTCCAACAGCGCTTCAGGTCCTTGATTCGGACCCATTTGGACTCGGATTGGGTCAAATTTGGTGTTGTTGGATTCGTATTTTCGATACGCTCAGTTTGACTGTAAGCTCGCTGAAATCAGAGTTCATATGCTCTCAAATTTAATTTTTAAAGTTTTCGAACTGATTTTGCCTCGAGATTCGTGCCCAATCAAGATAATTTTGTGATGACATATCAAGCTTATTTACTTTACAGCTCAGCTACTGAATTTCCTCTTGGTATTTGCTCATTTTTTTCTCTTGTTACAACTACTACACCTCAAACCATGAACTCGTCTTCCTCATCTCCCATTGTTCACACCACATCTGCTACTCTCCAACAATTCAAAAACCTCACAATTCCCTCCTCACTTAAATTTCTGATGAGAAATATCAAGTCTCTAGCCACATTTCCACTCAACACATACAACTATCCCCTATGGTGTTCCCAAATATCCAAAATTCTCACAGCAAACAGATTTCTTCCTAGACGCATCAAACCAACCAACTCTAAATCAAGAATACACACTCTGGAAACGCATAGACCAAAATTTATGTGCAGCCCTCTACTCCACAATTTCACCACCATACTCCCTCACATTCTAAATCTCGATTATTCTAACACAATATGGACCACTCTCAAGAAAGAAACGTCTCTAATCAACCAATCATTCAAGAGTGATTCAACTCAAGAACGAACTCCACAACGCTCCATGGGATCCAGCACCATCACTCAATTCCTAACCCATATCAAAACAATCATTGATCAACTTGAAGCAGCCAGATTGAGGTCGTTCTGTCACCGAAGCCGGGTCACCACCGAAGTTGTTCGCCACCGATGCCGATTTTCCTTGAAGTTGATTGCCACCGAGAGCTCGTACTTGGAAAAAGAATGACTAGCGAAGACGTCTTATTTAGTTGAACCTTCAAACTCCTGCTCATCTACGCAGTTACTAATCACAAATGCTCCAGTTCTCCACCACCTGTACAAAACTTCAGGAAACGGAAAGAAAACAGAGAAAATGCCAATAAGATAATTCTTTATTCTGTAAGGGAATTCTCCAAAAATCTGCCACATTCCTAGGAGGGACTATTTATACAAATATAGAAAGGTAACAACTAAAACCAAGTTACATTGCCGTCCACTAACAGAGCAACATAAAACAAAAAAATTTTCATAAAATAGACACTCCGGCATCATTCTACCGAGGTGGGAGAAGACTAAATTTCTATATGAGTAGTTAAGTCAGCTACGTACGTCAAACACAGTTGAAATGTTGTAATCACCCGACAAATCAATTTTGATATGCATTGTCATTTATCTTTTTGATTACCCTAAAGGGTCTGTTGACTTTTGGCTTAAGCTTCCCGAAGGGACCTAGAGCTAGGAAACCGATCTTTCCTCAATCGGATCCAAACGAGGTCTCCTTCCTTTAACTTCACTGATTTCTGGTGTTTGTTGGCTCTTGTTTGATATTTGTAATTCTATTTGACAATCTCTCCCTATACTTGTTTGTGTAATTCTTTTATTTCTATACTCCTCTGTTCGCCTTCCGAGCTATAATATGAGGGAGTTAAAATGGGAATTAAATCAAGAGGAGTTAAGAGATTACTTCCATAGACAATTTCAAAGGGACTGCGTCTAGTAGTATTTTTAGGAAACCGGTTGAATGCAAACTCAACTTGAGCTAGAATTAAATCCTATTGTCGAAGATTCTTTCCTACAAAACAGCACAGTAGATTGCCCAAACTCTAATTTATATTTTTGGTTTTTCAATCCGTTTATGGATGGGCGACCAAGCTGAATTGTAATCGGGTTCCCAACTTTCCCCATAAAGTTTTCTAGAAGTGACTTAAAAATTTAATGTCTCGATCAGAAGTGATGGTTTTGGGGATCCCATGGAGATGCATTAATTCTTGAAAGTATAGATCGCCAATGTGAGTGGCATCAAAGGTCTTATTACACGCTACAAAATATGCCATCTTTGAGAACATGTCTACGACCACCATGATAGAGTCCTTATTCCTTTGAGCCCAAAGAAGTCCTAACACAAAGTCCATTGAGACTCTTCCCATGGACCCTGAGGAACAGATAAAGATAAATATAACCTGGCATTTGTCCTCGTCGTCTTCGCTTGTCAGCAAATTTTGCACCCCTTCACATATTTGCCTACATCCTTAGGCATAGTTGTTAACCCTGAATTTCTCAAACCCTTGGGTCAAGAGGCTGACTTGGTCAAATTGACCAAGCCAGGCCCCAAGGCCACTTCCCTTGAGTTCCGAGGGTCAAACCAAATCTACTGAGCCCAAACCCAGGTCCTAGGTCAACCTAGTTGACCAAGTCAACTTGGGTTGACCCAAATATATCAAAATGTTCCCTTCTTGATTTCAAATCAAATCCATTGCTTCTTGGCTCAATCTCTTACCCCCCTAGGTTCCTTGGGCCAGACTAACCTTGTTGAGCTTAGGCCCAAGCCCTGGGTCAACATGGTTGACCAGGTCAACCTAGGTTGACCCATTAAGCCATATGGAGCCTAATCTAAGTCCTAACCCATCCCAATTCAGCTTGGACTCAACCCATTACCTTTTGGACTTGATTGACCATGTTGACCAAGTCAACCCTTGACTTTGTCAGCCCAAGTCAACCCTTAGGTCAAATTGACCTATTTAAGTCCATTTAAGCCCTTTTTATGCCTTAGAAGGTTTCCTAATCAACCCTAATGCAAACCACAGCTAAGGGAGTTTGTTTTACTCCTAATTAACCATAGATGTGATCCTAGCCACTTATCATAACCATGGGATTATAAATAGGGAGATTTAGGGTTGCATTAGGGGAATTTTGGCATTATCTCTCTCTAAGCTCTCCCAAGCTATAGAACTTTTTATGTGAGCTCTCCCCATTCCACTCCACCTTTTCCAATCTAGATCCATGGGCAACCCTCGCTGGCAGCGAGATCTCCTGTGAACCGAGGGTCAAGCTCTTCCTAGGCAATTTTCCATCAATCCAAAGCGTTTAAAGGCTCGAGATCAACTAGGAACTTATTCGTGGACAATCTACAAGCTCAGAAAAATCTAAGATCTACTGAACCCATCTATTGGATTGAGGTAAAACCCTGACCCTAGGCTAGAGCACCTAGAGTCAAATAACTTTATAAATATCATGTTTTAGACCACGAAATCACCTCCCCATGCATGCTCTTCATACAAGGATTGTAAGTTTAAAATTTTATTGAGTTTGGTTCATCTGATCGCACGAACGAGCCAATTTTCCTATTCTAGGTCACGGTTTACGTAAGCTATTGCTTACGTAAGATCAGATCCGTTAATCTCATGATCAACATATCTCATTTAGTTGTTCCACATGTTGAACCGAACGTGAACAGGCATTTGCAAGATTGAACCATGATTTGAACCACTAGTTCGAAAAACATGGAGAATCGGACGGATCTCAATCCATGCCTACGTGGATTAGTGGGGCGTCGTCCGTGGCATGATTGAGGCAAGAAAAACAATGATTGGTCACGATCTTTGCGGCCAATCCTGAGCCGCCAAATGTCATCCCGTGGTTTTTTCCTCTGATTTTTGTTTGTTTTAAATTGTTTTAAGCATATTTTAACTTAATTAAATCATAGAAAACCAATTTTTTATCAAAAAATACAAATAGTAGATATCATTTTTTTTAGTTTTTAATTCTCTTTAATTTAAAATTAATTTTGACTAAAAATGTGGTATATATTTTAAGTTATTTTAAAAACTACTGTTTTTGATATTTTAATTAATATTTAAATATTGTATTATGTTAAATATTATCTTTAAAACCATATTTTTCATATTACTCTATTTCAAATAGTTTCATTTAAAAATATTTTCAGACATTAAAAATTATTTTTTTTCTGATATGTTTATGTATTATTTAATTATCTTCATTATTTAATTATTATTTAAATAATAATATGTTAAATACTTTAAAATTATAAAAATTATTTTTAAATCATTTTGAAGCCTCGCCCGGGTGACCAGTGGGTCTCTCATGAGCATATAAATTAAAATATTTTAAAACATATTATTTTGAAACTCAGATATATTTATATATTTGCACAAAACTTTAGGAAATGGAAAGAAAACAGAGGAAATGCCAAGAAGAGAATTCTTTATTATGTAAAGGAATTTCTCCACAAATCTGCCACAATCCCTCTAGGAGGGACTATTTATACAAAAATAGAAAGGCAACAACTAAAACCAGGCTACACTCGTCCACTAACAGAGCAACACAAAATAAAAAAAAAAACATAAAATAGACGCTCCGGCGTCACATATGTCATCTCGACTCGGAAGATATTATTCTATACATTCTAAATGGTCTTCCACCCTCTTTCCAATCCTTCAAAATAACAATTCGCTCCAAATTAGAGCCAATACATCTAGACGATCTCTACATACGGCTGAGCAATGAAGAGATTAACATCCAATATGAAACACAAAAATTACAATCCAACTCTTCAGTCGCCTTTTACACCAACAGAGGAAAAGGCCGAGGGAGAGGTCGCAACTCAACCCAAACCCCAGAAGATCCTCTATTTCCTGCCAAATATGCAAAAAAAATGGGCCACACTGCCTTCAATTGCTAGCACCGAACCAATCTTTCATACATAACCTCAAAACAACAGCCCACTCCCACAGCCCTAATGGCTGCAACCAATGAATCAGCTAACATTATTACCAACACAGTGTCAAATCCCACCAATTGGCTACTTGACACAGGAGCTTCATCTCATCTCACCTCAGACCTATCACAGCTTCACGATCTGGTCGACTACAATGGAACTGATCAAATAACCATCGATAATGTCTCTAACCTTACCATCTCACACACAGAAAATGGAATTCTTCCACTCCATCACTGTAAGCTCCAACTCTTAAACATACTTAGAGTTCCCTCACTTTCTCATAATCTACTTTCTGTTCAAAATCTAACTAACAACAATAACTGTATTGTTGAATTGATTCCTATGGATTCAAAATCAAGGAGAACATCACACAAAAGTACTGCTCCAAGGAAGAAGTCAACAAGGTCTATATCCGATCAAGTATCATCAAGCACTTCATGCTCATTCATCCTCCACTCTATGGCATAATAGGTTGGGTCACCCGCTTATAACCTCTTCAGGTTGCTTTGGTCAAGCATCCACATCTTCAAATTTCTGTTTCAATTCCTCTTTATTTTGTAATTCTTGTAAGGCTTCTAAAATCCACAAGTTACCTTTCCCTATTTCTACTAGTAAATCTCTGCACTCATTTGCTTTAGTTCACTTTGATGTATGGGGTCTCGCACCCATAATGTCTCAAGGTTTTAAATGCTGTGTAATTTTTGCTGATAATTACTCTTGGTACATGTGGCTCTTTCCCATGATAACTAAATCTGAAATCATACACAAATTTAAATAATTCCACATGCTTATTAAAACATAATTTAATAAAAACATTCAAACTCTCAGGACAAACGGCAGTGGCAAATACACCTCCATAGAATTTACCAATGATCTCAACTCTCATGGCATTGTTCATCAACTAAGTTTCCCCCATACGTTGGAACAAAATGGCGTGGCAGAACGCAAACACATGCATCTTTTCAAAATCACACAACTCTTCTTACAGCAGCTAACATTCCCCACTCTATTTGGACCAAAGCCTTAGCCACCATAGTCCATCTCATCAATCACACTCCATCACGTGCCATAAATATGCAAACTCCAAATTATCTATTATACAACAAACACCCCAGCTACAATCATCTCAGAGTGTTTGGATGCTCTTGTTTTCCCTGGCAAAGACATAAATCTCCAAATAAATTCTCTCCCAGGGCACCCCAATGCGTCTTTCTCGATTATTCAACATCTCGCAAGGGATATCACTGCTTCATTCTCTCCAAAATAAAATAATTACATCATGACATGTTGTTTTCAACAAATCAGATTTCCCATTAGTTTGTACATCTTCACCGATCATACCAACCTGCTTAACCATCCCACCTCTTATTTTAATTCCCTCACATACTTCCTCTCCACCCCATAAGCCCCACCTATCACCTCCTCATCTCCAAACCCCACTTCATAACTCCACCCACCAGACAACATCCACAACTCTTCCACTCACCTCCAAACCCCACTTCACAACTCACCCCACCAAACAACATCCCATAACTCTTCAACTCAACCACCAGCATCACCCATCCCTCTCCCAACTCCACAAACACACTTACGTCATCCCATGATTACTAGATATCAAATCGGCAACCTTAAACCCAAATAAATCCTAAACCTACTTCACCATCTTAACCCATCCCCCAACCCCACATTCTTCACACTAGCCTCAAAATTGTTACATTGGAGAAATGCTATGTCAGAGAAATTCATGGCTTTACAACAGCAAGGCACGTGGTCTTTAGTTCCTCCTCCAACTGATTAATCAATCTTGGGTTGTCGTTGGACTTTTAAACCAAAAGAAACTCATACAGATCAATAATCATATACAAAGCACAATTAGTTGCACAGGGACACACTCAAGAGTATGGAATCAACTATGAAGAAAGTTTCAACCCGTTGGCCAAAATGCCAACCATTCACACTCTCACTGCTCTTGTCGTTCATTATCACTGGACAATTCATTAACTAAACATTTCCAACACATTTCTCCACTGACATCTCGACGACATAGTTTATATGCAACAACCACCAGGTTTCAAGGAGTCTCAGTACCCCACCCATGTTTATAGACTGCACTAAGCTCTTTATAGTCTTAAGAAATCTCCTCGACAATACTATTCCTCCTTTACCCAACACCTAACTACCCTAGGTTTTGTACCCAACTCAGCCGACCCATCCATCTTACTTCATAAAACTGACCATACACATATCTACATACTCATTTATGTTGATGACATACTCATCACCGGTGACAACCCCAAAATAATTACTGAAATTTAAGTAAAAAATGATTAAATAATTCTTTTCTCGAAACATTTATTTTCCCCCTTCGCCAAAAGGTGATGAACAATTACGCAATTTTTTGTTGGCCATAAATATGTAAATGAAATAGTATTAATAACTTGCACATCGATGCATGCATGCATGCAGGGATTTTTGATGATTTCATGGATGGTGATCACAATACATTCTTACCAACACTCTCTGATGATCTTATTGGGCTACTAAGCTTATACAATGCTTCTTATATGGCTTTCCCCGGAGAGAAAAAAATGGAGTCTGCGAGATCATTTGCATTGAAAAACATGACGAGGAAGAATATGCAGGAAATTTTACCGGGTAGCATTGAGAGTGCCATAGGCCATGCTTTGGATCTTCCCCTCCATCGCAGGATGCCATGGATGGAAGCTCGGATGTATATAGACATGTATGAGCTTGAAGATGGCATGAGCCCTGCATTGCTTCATCTCGCGAAAATCCATTTCAACAAGGTCCAAAGCATTCATCAGAAGGAATTAAAGCACGCCGGAAGGTACCGAATTTAACCAAAAAAAGGCTTCATCACCGAAGTCTTCACTTTTTTTTTTTTAAATATATATATTGACCATGCGTGATAAATGTTGTTTTTCCATGAAATATAATAATTAATAGCTGGTGGACAAGATTGGATCTGGGAAAAACAATAAGCTTCTCAAGAGACAGGCTTATGGAATGCTTCTTTTATGTTGTTGGAATTGTTCATCATCCTGATTATGGATTTTGCCGAGAAAAACTCACTCAAGTTGGTATGTTGATTGCAACTATTGATGACGTTTATGATGTTTATGGTTCCCTTGAAGAACTTGAGCTCTTTACCCAAATTATTGATCGGTTTGTTTCATCTTCTCATGTTTTACCTTTCGTTTTAATTTTGTTATTTTTATTAATTTATTTTCTATATCGAATCATTCATATAAACAAAGCAAAAGCTAGCATCATAAGTTAGACATCATAAATTTGAGCTTATTATTATATATGTTATCTTCATGAATATGTTAGTTGGGATATCAAAGGCGTGGTAGAACTTCCATATTATATGAAGATTTGCTTTTCTGCCCTCAACGACACTATCAATGGAGTCGCAAATCATCTCTATGCAGATGATAGATTGGAAGCCATACCTTATATTAAAAGAGTGGTATTTTATATTTTTTATATTCTCACACAATTCCTTATTAATGAATTGAACTTATAAATAATTGAAATTTTCTACTTTAAATTAATATATTGCAGTGGGCAGACTTATTCAAGTCATTCTTGGTAGAAGCAAAATGGCATAAGAAAGGATACATTCCAACACTAAAAGAGTATCTTTCAAATGCTTCCATCTCAGCAGCAGGCCATGTCATACTTTTTCTTGCTTATATCTTATTAAAATGTAAAATAACTAAGGAGACTTTACAGCTGCTTCAAGATTTCCCAAATATCATTCGATTACCCTCCCTAATATTCCGCCTCTGCAACGACTTAGCAACATCATCAGTGAGCATGCAACCAAATTAGAACTTTATCTATATAATATATGGTTGTTCTTTAATTTTTAGAAATTAAATATACAGGTAGAACAAGAGAGAGGTGATGTCGCAACATCAGTTCAATGCTACATGAAAGAAACAGGAGCTTCTGAGGAAGAAGCTCGCCTGTACATATCAATGTTGATAAGTGATGCATGGAATGATATGAACGAAGAATATTCAACTTGTTCTAAGCCACAATTCCCTCAAAGATTCATTGATGCTTCTATAAATCTTGCAAGAATGGCAAGTTTCATGTACCAACATGGAGATGGATTTAGTGCTCCAAGTCATCAGATTAAGGGTTCCATAAAGTCATTGCTCCTAAATAGCATTTCTAATAATTTAAATGAAAGAGATATGCAGTGAAGATTCAATTATTTAATACACCAATTGCATATGGTCTAAACATGATCTCGGAGGATGACATGGCATTGCTCCACAACCTATAAATAAATTGAGTCATGTTGAGTTTTGTTTTATTATAGATTATGTGTAAGATGGTGAAAGGAAACACTCAGGCTTGTTTTAAGCTATTTGTTCTAGAATTTATTTTATACAAATTCTTAAATCAAAGAACCTATTTATACTTGCTAGCATAAGGAGAGTTTTAGATGCTTATTTAATACAACTTCCAATTACTTCCTACCATCTAACATCTTAATTAAACATTACTTAGTTGTACAATAATTTACATATAGAATTTTCTAGATGCTCAATTAAGACAATGCCTTATTCATTTTAGAGATTATTTTGAATCACTTCCACATAAAACAAAACATTGTTCAATTGGTCATGCCAAGAATTGCCTTAAATTTTATGAAATATTCCATAGCAAGTGGCGTAATGAAAATATTTGTGACTTGATCCTCAATTTTAACAAGCTTTACTTGGATTTTCTTCTTCTTGATTTGATCTCTTAAGTAGTGAAAAAAATACATCAATGTCTTTTTTTTTCTTTCATGATGTATGAAATTATTTTCAATCTTATTATTTGTCAATTGTCTACATAGACTTTTGTAGCTTCACTTTTTGCACACCTGATTTCATTCAGTTGTTTCCTTAGCCATATTGCATGGCACAAGCATGAAGATACAACAATAAATTCATCTTCACACATAGAAAGAGCAACAATTGGTTGCTTATCTGAACACCAAGTGAAACTACTATCTCCATAATAAAACACCAAACCATTTATTCTTTTCTATAAACTTGATCTCCAACTAAATCACTACTAAGTAGTCAGTAAGTTGAAACTTATTAAAAGTGAGTATAATGTTCCTTGACTTGGGTACCTTTGATGTAGTTAAGATTTCTCTTATCTGCCTTCAAGTGAATCTCAATCAAATTTTCCATATAGTATCTTGCAATTCCAACACCGTAAATATTATCTAAGCTTGTGCAAATCAAATTAATATCTTAAACTTCCAATTAACTTTTGAAGTTGTATCCACTTATTTGCCTACATCAATCTTTTGATAATTTTGTTCTACATTTCATAGGTGTATTTATCAATTTGATATTCTCCATCTTAAATTTCTTGAGAGCTAAAAAATGACGCCTTCATGATTTGTCTTCACTTCTATTCAAAGAAAATAGGACATAAGTCCTATATGTCTCATCTTAAATTCTTACCCCAAGTTTTGCTTCCTCAATCATTAGTAGATTATTCTCTACAAAAATAAGATCAACTTTATAAAGAAAAACAAGCAAATTACCTCCATTTTAATATATCTTCACATAGAAGGCATTTCATATAGGCTTTTAATATAGTCGTTTCTATTTCAAATATAAATTAATCATTGTATTTATAAACTTATAATTTTTTTAAGCCATATAAAGAATCTTTTGAATTATAAAGATTTCATTTATTGACATTTCTTTTTATATTCCAAGGGCTACACAATATATATTTCTTCTTTAATAAATCTAGTTTAAAACAAATTTTTAATTCATTTTATGAATAAGCCAACCATTTATGCAATAAGAAAAACTATCAAAGAAATATTTTTTATATAAATAGCATAAGTAAATATCTCTTCATAGTCAATGACTTCCTTTTGCTTTTATTTCTCCCTTTGCATTTTTTTGTTGTACACCCATTTTACACTAATGATTTCATTCCTTCAAATAAAGTTGTTATCTCTAATGTGTTATTATTCACAAAAGATTTGATTTCTTCATTCATTGTGCTTTAAAACCTTTAATAGTATATGGTTTCTTCAAATTCTAATAGCTCTCTATTTGAATGTAAACAAACAAAATATAGTTCATTCTTCTTTTGAATAAAACCATTAGTATCAAATGGTTGACGTTTAGTGAAATTTATTCAAACATAGGTCATTCTTCTTTTGAAACTGATTATGAGAAGTTGTGGGAGATTATTAGTCAAGATAACATGATGAATCATAATAACTTCTATATTTTTCAATGTATAAAGCTTCTGCTATAACAGCCCAAACTCTTAACTATCGAGATATTCTCATGTTGGTGTAACTTCCCAATAGGTCACCCATCCCAGAATTACTCCGGAATGAGCACGCTTAATTGTGGAGTTTCTTACAGAAATTATAATCATTACACCAAAAGTGCTTCAATGTTTAAGAGTTTTGCTTCTTTTTACTTAAGGGGTTTCACATATGTTGTGTAGTTTGTTTATAAGACTTCTATCATTTTGACTATTGGTAATGCTTGCGTAGTTTGGCTAGCTAAGACTAGATCTTCAAGATGTGTTTTTCAATCGTATTCTTAGGCTAATGTGCCTCATTTACTAAAAAGGTATTTTGTTGTTAGATGTTGTTGGTTTTCGTTACATTTGCTAGGTGTGCACTGCTCTAGTTTTATTTATGTTGTTAGCTCTACTTTTATGATCCTATGGACGTCCCTTTGTTATTCTTGCTATGTGGCAAGGTTGCTTGGTTTCCATTTTCTCTAATGGCTACTTCCTTCTTTCTTTTTTAGATATTCGACTCTCATACTCTTTGTTACGTTTGTGTTTTTGGTGTTCGGGTATGCATTTTGTAGATCTCTTTTGGTTCCTATTTCCTTTGCTCATGTAATTGCCTGTATTTTGACTTTGCTAAATTTTTTTGGGAGTCATTACAACTCCAATTCATAATCTGTCTTAGTATATTGATAATACTATATGTGTGTGAAACAAACAAGATTAGTTGACCTGTTTGTTGGAGACTGATTGACCTATATAGGATGGTGGACCGACAGGATTTTCTTTAAATACTGTAATTTGGTGTTATCATTTACTAATTCATTTGATACACTGATTAAGAGTTATAAGGAGATTATTATTATGTCGATGGGTAAAGGGTGACGAATCTATTTACTGAGCCAACGGTAACACTGATACTAACACTAAAAAATATCGTGCTAGTTAGGGCTTCTACTTGTTTAGTATGATTATTTAAATGCATGTTTTGAAGCATTTTTTTTATTATTGTACAAACTTATTATTACTACACGATTTTACTGTTATTACATTATTCTACTACTCCCACCACTAAATTATTACTGTTACTGATATAGATAATGATACTTTAGATATTACTAATTCACTATACTGATATTATGCATGTGATATACTGAGCACGTATTATATAATATTTATTGAGAATGTGATTGAGATATTAATTTAATACTGATATAGAATGCTTGGATAACATGTGTACATTTTGATATGATTTTATTCGTTGATTTGATTTTGACAATCTTTACTAACATTTTGATTTGATACTTTATATGATTTCTATATTAATTGATATTATTAATGTCGCAATTATTTTATATATTTGACATTCATACTGGTTTAAAACTTTAATATCTTTTGTACCACAGTGTTTTATTACTTATAGATTATATTGCTGCTACATTTGAGTTTTATTATTCTTGTACTGATTCAATGATCATATGAATGCAAATGTTATGGTTTGACTGTTGACAAACATATTGCTCCTTCACCGTGCTTTGACTTCAGTTATAAGTTTTGATGACCTGTTGGGCTTTTGAAGCTCATTATATGTAGTTTAAGGTCAAGGCAGGAGAGCATGAGTGTGAGGCTGATCAGGATTCTTTAAGTTCTATTTCTTTTTGGTATAATCTCACGTAGTTTATATGATTTTTGAGAATAAATATAGATGTATACAATGATGTTTTAAATTGTGGAATCTATTGTACTGTTTATTACTGATAGATGATATTAGATAGCTCTGGTTGTTAATTATTTAAATGATAAATAAATAATTCTTCAAATTTAGATTCTGGGGCATCACAACTTGGGCCTGAGGTTTGTTATTCTATTTTATTGGTGGGTTCCATTTTCTTTGTTGTTCTCTATTTCTAGGTTTTTTTCTTTTTTTATGTTATATTTTGGCTCTACTCTACCTTGCTTTGCTTTCTTCTTCCAAGGTTTTTTCTAGTTTTTCAAGATTCTATGTTCTCGATCTTGTATTTTAAATGATGGCTCCTAACTTCCCTAGATGTCTTTTTATAGATTTTCTGTTGATTATAATTATGTGTGATCTTTCGCTCTTAGGCATTATTTTTCCTTTTGATTGTAGCTCTTCTACCTTTTAAGAACGTGTAACTATTTATTTTAATTAATGTGTATGCTCGTCGGTGGGTTTTCCTTGAAAAAAACATACAACTTTCTTTTTCAAGAAAATTTATGAAATACTTAATTTTTTTAATACTACTAATGGAAGCATTACAGAAAAGAATAATATCATCAGCAAAAGAAAGGCGAGAAATATTAAGACCACTAGAATTACAATAGCAAATGCTTTTATTGTAAGTAAAATAGTGAATTAAGCCTCTTGAAAGATAATCAACCGCAATGATATACATAGCAGGAGATAGATGATCTCCTTGTCAAATGCCTTAGGCAGCTTTAAAGAAACCCTTAGAATTTTCATTAATTATGATGGAAAATGAATCATTTTTATAATGTTCTTAGTAAGATTAATAAACTAGTTATAAAAAACCAAGCAAATTTAGCATTTTATAAATAAAATTCCAATTGATTTATCATAAGCTTTAGATATCCAATTTGAAGATTAAATTATGAACCTTACTATTTTGTTGATAGCATGATAAGCTCTTGAGCAAGAAGAACATTATCAATGATGTTTCTCCCTTTGACAAAGCCCGTTTGATTTTTAGATATAATCTTAAGAAGAATACATGTCAATCTAGAGGATAAAATTCTAGAAATAAGTTTATGAAAAGTAAAGCAAAGACTAATAGGTTTAAAATCATTCCAATATTCATGATTATTAGTCTTAGGGATAAGAGCAATAGAGGTGCTAGAAAAATATTTAGGGACATTACCATTATTAAAAATGACCATAATAACATTGCAGAGGTCCTCTTTGATAATATTCCAACACTAAAAGAAGAATTGGATAATAAAATCATCAGGGCTAGCTACAAGGTCTTTGTTCATGCCCATAAGACAATTAAAAATCTCACCAACATTTGACCACCAGAATTTGTTTAGTTTATGATCACTCAATTGCAATATTAGTAGAAACTAAAATGTCAA